TGACTGGTCAATACAATGAGTGATCTGTGTAACGGAGAATGAAAATCATATCTATATTTGGACGTTTCCTCCTGTTCAAAATATATTAGTTTAAAATCTTATTTAAGCAAAAATAGAGGATTCAGTATTCCTCTGAAATAGAGATTTGAACCGTTATTCATTGGATATCTAACGCTAAATAGTAAATCTAGTTGATATTCATTGATTTATTATTTTTTAGATGTTTAATGAATAAAAGTTCACATTTCTACTCTGAAAATAATTACAGCCAAAATTCTCGTGATCTAGTGATCGAATCTGTATACTTAATGTATTACTTGATCACGAGGATTTTAGTCATAAAAAAAGCGGATAAATACCAACACAGCTTTATCGACACAGCTAATGGCCAATACTAACCTTAACGACACAGCGTGGCCGCATTATAGTTAAGGCTAGTATTAGAATTTCTTATTTATTCTATTTATTGCAATTACACTAGCAACTATAGAATCAGGCGGATAATATTGGCCAGTAGTTTCCTGCCCGCATAATGCAACTGACTGTAAATGAAGAAATTGACAAAAAAAAAAAAGGTAGGATTATGTTAAGGAAAAGGGTCGGGTACAAATGAATCTGCTCTTTCAGTGCTTTCACAAGTTACTTAATCATTTTATTACGGTATGTCCTGGTGAAATGATTGTATAATTGTAACTCATGCTAACCTAAACCAGTAATTCATTAAATTAGTTAATCGTCTTTTGTGCCAATTTTCATCCATGAATTGCATATATCAGATGTTCCTGTTGGTATCGAGTTCTCTTCTATTACCATATTATTGTTGGTGCATCACTGCTTTAATTTTTAGTGCCGCAAACAATAATTGTTGATCTTATCAAGAAACATTGTCCATTACTATTTACTTTAATTAGATATGTATTCAATTTATCAGATAATTTCATAAGCTCATGCTACAATAATAATTATTATTTATTAGCCAGAAAATTAAAAATCTGGCGTCAGTCATAATTTTGACCGGTCAGTTAACCGCCTCTGACCGGTCATGACCTGACCGAACCCATCCCTAAGAAGAAAATCAGAATGATATTGGATCTTTATTACTACTCCAGTGAAACGCCACTTTAATTAGTAGAGCATATCGCCTAAAGTGGCTTTGAAAGAATGCCTAAATGTACACAAAGATAATGGCTTAAAAAAATGCTATTTACTTTTTACAAATTAAACATATTTATTTTCGGGCTCCTTAAAATGTACCCAGGGTATAGGCTCTTAAACTATAACCAAAATTAAATTTATAATAGTTATCACGTGCTAACGAAATCTAATCCTAACCTAACTAAAATCAAGAAACAGGATAATAACCTCTACCCCAGGCATATTTTAATGATTTTCATTATTTTCTGTTAGATAAGTAACCACACAAAAATGAATGGATTACGGAGCGATAGATTTTTATAGTATATCATGTGGCTATAAGCCTGATGAATTGAAAATAGGTTTGTACTGTAAATTGATCTTAACGAACGCCTCACAAGAAATTTGGCTTCAATCACTTGAAATTATCATTACACACATTTCAGTTGTCTTACATATATTAAATACACAGTATATATATAGAATACAATTCAGAATTATTTATCCCGATAACATTTTCTAATTTATCTATTTCATGCATTGACGTTTTGGGTCAAGCAGGAACCAGATATGTTAACAGGTAAAAGCAGCAAGTTATTTGGCGTACTACAATCAGACATCTACGTTTAGAATAATACTAATCAAGATTGTAACAGGAATATATATGTACGGTGGTAAACGTCAAGAAGAAATACTGTAATATCAAAGAACCAATGTTTAACCTTCTTTAAATAAGTCATTACAACATCAGATTACAATAAATTCATGTGATAAGGGACTTCCAATTAGAGAATTGAGAGATCAGCATCAGGTACAAAAAGTCAGAAACAAGAAAAAAAAACTTTTTTGAGGAAATCGGAAATATCTTAAATTAACTGTCCTAACAAAAAATTTTCCTTGTGTAATTTACCATAAATAAAATTTTCCTTATTCAAAATTCATAGACCAACATTAATATAACCTTAATGCGTAAAGCTTTTTTAATTTTGAGCAAAGATATCTCAACCATCTATCCAAAATCGATGAATTTTTTTTCGTTATATAATTAAATTAACCAATTTTAATCGACTTTTAGATAGATGGATGTCGAGATAACTTTGCTCAAAGTTGAAAAAAGGTTTATTGATTTCATCCAATTAGAATGTGACTGTTCAAGTAGAATCTCAATTCAGCGACACTTTTTCGTTATGGCTAGGATACTACGCACAGGACCGGTTCTTTATAGGACCAATGCGACCCTAGCTATTCGTTTGAGAGCTGATTCCGAAAATTCTTATAACTTCATCGATCACATCATAACTACAAAGTTATAATTTTTTTTATTTAGTTTGCAGCTTAGCGATTTTGGATGAGACGGGGCTCAAACTTAGCGATGTTACCCAAACTATTTGGGAAGTCCCAAACTATGTGATGAATAGTATCATACTGCTTTGGCAACAACAATAAGACGGTAAATACTTCATATGAAATTATTTGTCACGTAGTTTGGGACGTCCAAATGGTTTGGGTAACATCGATAGCTCACACCATATAATTTCAGTGTTACACAATTTCCCGAACATAAATTCTGAGCAACCTATAATTATCCGATTACGTATATTCTATTTGAAACTCCGGGAAAATCAAACTGTTAAACTTTTTAGAACATACGAATATACATATATGTATTGTAAATTTAATTATGATACAAAATATCAAAGATTGGTTGTTTCCCAAAGAGGATACTGAACAATTTACAGAAAAAGAAGAAATTGGAATTACTGTCATAATCGATAATGTTAAAGCTTCAGTAAAATTGAATGATCAAGAAAAATTAAGTGAGATACGAAAAATACTTGAAAATATCAATACGATAAAAATGACGGATGACATTAATTTCACAACGGATGGAGAAGCAATAATTGATACTACACTTGAAGAAAAGTATAAGTTGGAAGAAATTTTGATCGAAACAAATAAAATTTATCTTAAAAAAGAAGCAAATTGGCGTGATTTGGAAAATAAATTTAAGCTTGGATATGGGCGAAATTATGAAGAACATAAAGATATAGTGGCTGATAAGAAGGCTTTTATTATTAAGAACTGTGAATTCAATAAATTTCCTTTGGATAATTATTATTACGGTAAGAAAGTTATTTCATCAGCAGAAGACTTGGTTCGAAATAAGGGGTTATTTCTGGAAGTACAAATAGAAATTCAGTTTGCAAAGTTGGGTCTTTCAGTACAATCCGAAAAGATTTTACAGAAACATTCTGAAACATCAACAACAATTCGGTTCAAAAATATAGGAAAAGCAGAAATATCCATTCGAGAACAAACCATTGAACCCACTGAAGAATTCAAAAATGCGGTGCAAAAAGCAATTGATTCAAAGGATCCAGCAAAGATTAATCAAATTATTCAAGAATTTGGTCAATTCATTCCTACTATAATTCGATTTGGTGGAAGATTTTATTATGAAGATTTATCACGCACAATCGAAAATTCAGAAAATGACAATAAAGCAGGTTCAGCAAACTTTGGTATTTATGGACAGGGTCCAGATTTTCAGTATAAATCCGGTTTAACTAGTGGAAGTAAAAACGCTATGCAACGCCAAGATTCATTTATTTTCGGTGGAGACAAGATAAAAATGTATGAAGGCAAAGAAGAGGAATGGATATCTTCTTTACAAGATTTTGGATATTGGGAACCAATAGAATTTCGTAAACCTGTAAGCATCTTTGAACTGTTAAATAAAAATTTGAAAGAGAAATTAAAGAAAATTATTGGAAAAAGGATTATCTATTCTAATGTTCACGATTATAAATATAAAATTAAAGGCTTTCGTAATTGCGTAGAAGATTTAAAAATGCCAAAGGATATTGAAAAGATTTTCAATTCTGATATTGAGCCACAAGTTTTTGCCACGATTCTTAATATGGATGAAAACAATGATATATTTAATTACGCGTTATATGCTCCAAGACCTTACTGCATTCCAAAAATTATCATTAATTGTATCCAACCCAATTGTGAGGAACAAAAAGAATGTCATATTAAGATAGGTTGGATAGTTGTTGGGTATAACCCAGTTTTTAATTCTGCTTTCTCAAGTTTTGACATTCGTCTTCAAAGTACCAAGAAAGAAGTGTCTATGCCATCGAACAGTTGCAATGAGAAACAAGTGTTCAAAATGTCTGATGACAATCTTCTTATAGCATATGGTGCGCCTGTAGTAGATGATTGGAATCCTGTTTGCGAGCATTTAGTCATTGGTCATCATTTTAGCCAATGCAAAAATACAAAGAAAACCTTTACATGTCTTTATGGATATGACTTACATGAAAAGAAATATTCTACTTTACCTAATTTTGAATTCAGCTTACTATCTTTTATCGATTATCCAAATTCACAAATATTTTATAGAAAAAAATTCGAAAAAAAGAATATTTTTTCTATCAAAAAGACTAGAAGCAAAAAGCAAGTAAAGCAAGAAATTGATGATAAATTGCCAGAATTTATCAGCTTGTATGCAGATAATGAAAGAGAATGTCGTCAATGCTATCCAGGATTTATTGTCAAACGATTTGAGCGTTTTATTCTTGAGCTACCTAAACATGAGAATACTATTAACCAAGAATTTTATAATCATTGCTTTGCTTCAGTTTTTAATCCTGAAGTTGTTGAAAGCAGAAAAATATTTGATATTACGTATTAGTTTCATAAACGCACAGTTTACTTTTAAAATTTACTATGAAGGGCTAACGCGAGGCCTGGTCCAATTTGAGGCGATAGTAGCGATATGCTCCGTGCATCTAAAATAACATTTGTGTTAATTGTTAACTCGATGAAAAAGTAGAAGTATTCGTTGATGTTGTGTTGTACAGTATTTGTGGATATAAGCATGCTATGAATAAACAAATTTTACGATCTTTTAGTTGGTACAAAATAATATACATTATTACATACTAGCACGATAGGTGGCGCCTACGCGTCACTAGCGATGAAACTTAACATTCTTGCTGATTGGCGGAATTGGATCTTTATACCAGTACGATCACATGAAATGTGGAGGGATGGTTGCGTTCAACTTTTTGGTGCGCTATATTTTTTCCTATTTT